TGCCTACCTTTATTAAAAAAAAATGTCTACAAGAAACTCAATTTCAATTTTTTTTATGAAACAAAATATAATAATAAATAGGAGTTGCCAGTATGAACTTATAAACTAGGTATAAGTTCTTTGCACATAAATGTCGTTTTTCTGTTTTAAACAACTGATTTTATTTATGATGCTTAAATCATTTGTTTTAAATGTTTTAAACAAAACCATGTTTGATTAATTTAGATGTTTAAAACATGTTTAACTAGGGTTACTACATCTCTCCTTTGAAAAGTTCATTTTTATCGTCCAAACAAGAAAAATTAATTCAATTTAACTTTCCAATACTTCAAGCACCTTCCTATATATTTTACATTTATCAATTATTACAGTTCATGTTTACATATCTTTGTTTACAATTATATGATTTCGATTATAATTATATATTATTAAAACAAACTACTGACAGTTATTTAAATTCTTTATACAAAATAAAAATCATTTAAAAACAGAATCATTAAAAATTAATAAAAAAAATATTTTTCTTCATAAAAATTAGTAAAATTGGTGGGTAGTTAGAAATACCTAATTATTTAAAATGTTTATTTATTTGCACATGTTGTACTATTATGGCACCTGCTATTACATAATACATTTGACTGGCGGCATATGCAATTTTTAGTTGTACCTACATTTTTTCTGGCAATCACACCTCAAAAATCCTTGCCCGCCTGATAGTGAAAGTTTGGTGTATGCTTGTTGTTGTATTTAGTTGGAATTACAATTTATTTATTTATTTCAGCAAAATCAATATCATTATTTAAATAATTAAATAAATTGTACAATAGTCAAATTACAAATTAAAAGTTAAATTACTACAATAATAGTGATAAGAGCTGATACTTATACCAACTGAGCAAGCTCGTTTCTGGTATACGGAGTTCCCACACATATTACTTATATAATATAATATAATAAAATGTCATGTGTCTTATACAATTGAGAATGATGTATTTTACTTCTCTAAATAACATTATCTTATAATTTTATAACTAAACAATACTGATAGATAATCATTTATATTTACACATAGATACTTTTTAATAATTGATTTTTACACACATTCTCATCTAGGTCATTTACTATTTTAGTAATTATATTTTTTATACGATTTTTGTTAATTATATTTTTTACATTGGTTTTATTAGACTGATTTTCACATTCATACTTTATTAGACTCTTTACATCATTTCCTAAATTGTTGAATATAGTTTTGACCATATAATCGGGAGCACTTTTTGTACTGGATAGTGATATATAAGGTAATTTTATGTTATTACCTGTTCTACTGTATATTATATCTGTATTATTAAGTATCTGCATTTGAATTGTTTTTATAAGTGTTTGTTTAATGTATAATTTATAGATTGATAGTATGTTAGTATTTTTAAAAATATCTATTGAAGGGTATGTTGGCGGTAACGAGTAGGCTACTTTTATAATAAATTTCTGGGCAATATATACCGATTTTATGTCTGTTCTGCTGGCACCTCCCCAGCATGTTATACCATATAATAAGAGTGAATTACATAATGCCATATAAATTTGCCGTATAACTGATTTCTTAAGAAAGCGAATTTTATAAAATAAGGAAGTTAATCTCCGGATTTTATTATTGATACATTTTATATGCTCAGACCATTTCAGCTATTGATCCATTATGACTCCTAAATATTTAAATTGTTGTACCATTTTAAGTGGCTTACAATTGCAGATTGTTTTATTTGTGGAACATTGATGTAATATGAAGTTCAATCCAACTGGAAGCTGTGATCGGTTTGTGACTATCGGCATGCATACTGATTTATTTACATTAAGTCATATTTGGAACATCGGATATTAAAATAAATTTTTCTTCGCATAAAGTAAATTGATTTCTAGTGAATAATTGATTTAATGTCCCAGCTTTAAATCCTTATTGATAAAATTCTCCGTCAATAATTTCAACAACTAATGCCAATAATGTGCGGGAATCAATTTTACATCAATTTTTACGCAGCTTAAATGTTATGTATCGTGTATTGATCAGCTTTTACTAAGTCAATTGTATATCGTAGGATGTACACAACGTGTTTAGTAAAATCTAGAATAAAATTTAGAATTTCAGCATTTACTGAGCACAAACAGTAAAACCTGGCATTAACTAGTAAAACCTAGGTTTACCTAGTGATCGGGCATTTACGGTAACATATTTACCAATACCATTATGTATTTCTCCAACAAAATGTTAATAATGATTTATGCACATAAATGATGTTTTTCTTAAACAACTGATTTTTTTATGATGCTTAAATCATTATGATATTTAATATACTTATATATTTGTATGTTCCTATATAATATATTACTCTATTATGATGGTTTTTTTTCTTTTTACGTTTAACCTTTATTATTCGAAAGTTACCGCCGCGAAAATTCCCGCCACGACTATTTCCTCCGCGATTTGCGTTATAACTATTGCGATTAGCAGCCCTTCCAAAGCTATTATTGTAACCATTTTGATTATTGAAATTTCTACCATACTGATTCCCGTGTCCGTATCCCCCGTTATTAAATACATGCGTTTAACTACTATCATTCTGTCGTTTTTCTCCTACTTGAGAATCGTTATTTTTCTGTTTGCCTACATTTTCCTGTAACTTCGCTATGCTCAACTTAGAATTAAATTCAACCTCTTCGTCTACCGCTAATTCAATTCAAGCTTCTAAAGTAAAGGATTGCGTGACTTTAGTGCTGTAGGCAAGTAATGAGGTAATCCTGTCATAAATATAATCATAGACTGCTTTTTAGTGTGGTTTCCGTGATTTTTACGTATTTTGTCAACATTTGAACTTTAATAATTGTAACTGTATAATGTATATTTAATATTTTTCAAATGTCATTGTAACAATATATTAAGGTCCGTGTATTAAATTTTCAAGCTTTATTACCCAACAAAATAATGTAATTCAATTAGTTATAACTTATAATGTTAGAAATATAAATGTTTTTTGTTGTTGAATGCGAGAGACCAACAATATAGCAATTTACACAACCGATATCTTAATATGTTATCCAAAACATGTATAGTGTGATTTTATTGAATTTATGTTTTGTTATTTGGGGGGTCCAGGCCCCCTGAACCCCCTCAGATAATGCAGTACTCGGTTGTGAAAGATAAACATTTTGCGTGGTAACCCCATACCACTCCACTCCGCCCATCTAAACTTAAAATACTTATAACTCATAAACTACTCGTCCTAAGTTCGGTTTTTATGTATCAAAATACTTAGAAAAATATTCTGCTTTGGAATATGAAATTAAAACTCTATGCTTTCATTCAAAAAAGTAAAAAACTTAAAAAATTATAAGGATAAATAATATTTAAAAATAAAGTTTTTTAATGAAAACGCTGTTTTTTTAACAACTAGAAACTACGAAAAAATAATATTTTCAAAAACATTAATACTTGAGATAATGAGTGTTTTACGCTTAATGAATCCCTTGTATTAAAAATTTAAATATTTTTAAATTCGTGATAAATGCTATTTGTTGTTTATTCTAAGCCAAATAGATAAGAAATTTTTCATCCACGAATGTGATATGAACCGTTTTTATTTACTGCCATTTTTTTAAATGGCATTCGGGGTATATTTTTTTTTTGTACTATATTATTATATTTTTTTCTTCGAAAATATAAATTAGTTGGTTTTTAATAAACTAGCTAGTTTATATGGTCGAAAATTATTTTAAAATTGTATAATACTATAATGCCATAACCTCAAAAAACTTCTGCAGGAAACGATCAATTTAAGCGGAATGCTGATAAATGATAATGAACAGTTGTCCGACCTTATCATCTAAGACTGTGTATTTATCCGAAACATCAAGAACTCCAGTCAAGAAGTCGTGAACACCAGTTATTATATTTACATTTTTGGTTTCTACTGAAGTGTGGTAAGAGTTTATTTATTTATTTTCAAACAAAAATATACAGGACTAAATCTAAAAATGTTAACACCCGGGGGCCGTGGATAGGAGAATACCCCTATTTTCATTTAAATAACTGTGATGTAACTCAAATATTTTTTTAAAACATTATTAGGTATTTATTTATTTGCAAAATACAAGAATATTACATAAATAAAATATTACATGATATTATAGTGTACAATGTATAATGGGCCTCAATGAGCAAGCTCGTGTTTAGGACCAATTAGATATCTACTCTTAAAAAATGATATTACTAAGCTGGTGGTTATATTTATTTTTTATACAAACATAGTATTTTTACAGAAAATATTCCAACAAAAATTCTACTTACAAAAAAATTATTCATCCATGGTAGGTAATTTGTCCATTATACACATCAGTTAATATTAGTAAATATTTCATTAATTTTTATTTTCAATATATTTTACAAATATTGAGCAACAATCAAACACTTGGTAATATAATACATATTTTTCATACATATAGTTCTAAACATTTAACTATTTAACTATTTTTTTTAATCAAGTCAAAATCAATATGATTCTCATTTTTGAAATTTACTCATCTTGTTTTCAATGACAAAACAACTTGATATGGTTTGCTACTTAAGCTATCTTCTGACGCTTATGTGTAAATTATGAAATTAGAATTAAATATACAACTGACATCAATAATAATTTTAAACATATCACGCACAGGGATGAAACTGGGACTTTCCCACCCTAGATTCAACCGTGTCCATATATTATTATTAAACCCTGTCTGATGTGGCTTAAGATTTAATATCATTTTTTTTTTTTTTTGTATCCCTATATTTCTATACACCCTATAAGTTATGAGCAATTAATTCATCCCTGTACTTTAACTGTATTTGGTGTGTACAGACACAAAAGTGCATTATGTATACTCATTATGTTACTCTACATAAATACTCCTGTCCAAATTTATAATTAGTTTTTATTTTCTAAATAGGTGTTACGCAGTTCAAAATGTCAAATAATATCATTTCAACATACAAATTCAAACCGTTTCATTTCACTGTATTAAGGAAAGATTGTGATCCAGCGCAAGGTTCAATATATAGATTTGGATATCAATTGGTGTGCAATAATAATGCCTATATATTATCGTTTCGAAGTTTCAATGTTCAAACAAATGTGAGACACATTTTTTTTTCTTTATACAAATTACTGACAATTCCTTATATTTAAAGTTAGTGACCGTATTTATATGCGCTTAAAATCTTGAAAATAAGATACTTCTATGCCCTATAATTTCATAAAAATAATCCTTTATATGCAAAAATATTCTTTTATGAAAACATTTTCTTTGTCATAAAAATGTACTAAACATTTAAAAAACAACTAAAATTAACAGTTTATAAAAATAAACAGTTATATTATATTATATAGTACCTATATTTAACTGTTGTAAGTTGTAACTTGTAACACAAACTTATGAATTAAAAAAAATAATAATACTAAATTGAAAAATAAAAAATAAAAAATAATTGCATACCTATATTTTATTAACAGAATAATATTATGTAATCAAACTCAAACTTAAATAATTCAGCCTAACAAACTCAAATAATAATAATAATAATAAGTTTTAAATAATAAAAATAAAAAATTTTTATTATCTATTAGATTTTTATAAAATATTCAAATTTGGATTCAACATGGCAATATATTTCTAGGACATGTTTTTTACTCAAAATATTCTTTAACCTTAATATATTTTTTTTTTGGTTTAAAATCAGTTCATAGGTAAATGAATCGTCGAGAAAGCTTAGATGATTGGAGCTGCATACTCTCAGTAAAGATATGTAAAAACATAAAAATCCGGTCTCTATTTATAATTATTTCTTTCAATTTGAACTGTGTTCTGCTCTTAAAATGGATATTATTTTACTGTTCATTATCTTTTGGTTGCCTGTGTTTATATCGTAACTCATCTTACTGACATTCTCTTAAGGGTATAAACCATAATCAATGTGTACTTGTAGGATGCTCCTGGTCAAAGAGTTATGCGTCAGATTTGGAAGTATAGTTTGGATTCAGGTGAATGGAAAGTCGTGAATTGTAAAAATGTTCCTCAGGAATTAGTAACTAGTTATAAAATAGTTACACTTCCTGGTGACATAATTATTATATTTGGAGGTATTGGAGTTCCATCTGGAGGAATTTGTAGAAACCGCATGTACTTGGGTAATATTTTAATGACACAACTTACATTAATGATGAAAATTAGTAAAATTATTACACAATTTTAATGATTCCAGCAAATTTAGCCAATGAATATAAAGAAAATGGAATGAGCTTTATAGATTTAGAAGAGTCTGGAGATGTTCCTTTACCATTATATGGACTAGGTGTTGTAATGGATGGTAAATATATTTATTCAATTGGTAACTCATCTGGTTCCAAACATGAGATGGATGTTCATCGATTTGATCTGAGTACAAGAAAATGGGAGTTGTTATATAAGTCACTAGGGGAAGATGAAGACCCTAATCCTAGACATCAACATAAAGTTGTATTCTCCAAGGGCAGAATATACATATTCGGTAGCAAGATACGTGATGCTGATAATTTTATTTACTTTGGTTTTAAGGTTAGAGTAAAATCTTTAATTTATATTTTATATTTTAATTTAATTTTAATTGGTATTTTCAACACATTTACTTTTTATTCAATCCTATTCATTCTTTTATGAATTTAAACCATTTTATGAACGAATTATTTTTTCTAAGTGAATTTATTTTAAAGAAATAAAATAATAACTTTAAAATTGACCGAAATAATGATGTAAATTTACGTTATATCATACATATCACGGTCATATGTTAGTTGCAATATTTAGTAAATTTAGTGAATTACTGGTCAATAATGACAATAACTATATTTTTAGTTAATAACAATAATTCCTAGCCATATTAAATAATGAATAACTGTCTCAAACAATGATGAAATATGTATGTATTACTTAGTCATTATCATGAGTGTACGAAAACCTATAATAAACTCCGAATTAATCATATCACAATATATATTAGGTACTTATAACGCGTTATACATCAACAAAACCGTGATACTATCACAGATATATAATAGTATCCTTTAGAAGTTTCAAGTACCCACGAATAATATTATATAATCACAACAAAATAACTAAAATAGTTGTTCTAGGTTTTTTTATTATGTATAAATAAATTTTTAATTATGTATACAATTTGAACTTAAAATTACTAAAAATAAACTGTTTTTATGTATTTCTTTAGATTTGTTTATAACATTATTAAGTACATACGTGGAATATTGTTTTAAATTTCCAATCCTTCGTTATAAAAGTTGAACATTTTATACATAATATTTAACTACAAAAAAATTATTCAATTTTTAATAATTTTGTCAAAATTCATTCTTTAATTGCTTATAAAAATAATTTGTACCAATGTATTTTTAATGTTTTTCTTCTGCTTTTGTAACAATATATCAGGAGCCTTTTACTAAATTTTTACACTTTTTGTCCCAACGGGTAAAACCCAATTGATATTTTTAGAAAAAAAAAAACTAAAAAATTTGAAAACTGAAAATGTCTGTAAACAGTTATCGTGAATAGGAACTTCTAATATAAACATTCAGTGATATTTTCAAGTATTTACAGTTATTCGTTTTTGAAGTACAACAAAATAAGTAAATCGCTACATGAGAAATCGAGTTAATATCAAATGTTGTAAAACATTGAATTTCAAACCCTCATAAAAATTTAATTTGCATTTCTTATAGACATTTTTGTTTTTGGATAAAGATAGAAAATCATATAAGGAATCTTGTATAACATTTTAAAATTTTAGATTTAAAGTTGAAAAATTTTACGAATTCTTAACTCAAAATAATTTGTTAATTTTTGTGACTTTTACATATTTTGTCAATTTTTTAACTTTAAATGCTTATAAAAAAAAACTGTGATCAAGGGTTTTTAATATTTTTCAAAAGTCATGTGGTAGTAGTCTTGCATTAAATTTTCAAGTATTTTTAATCAACAATTAAAGTAGAATTTATAGAAAAAAAAATTAATACAATTTTAAACTGAATCATTAATATAAATATATATTGTTAAAAGGAAAGAACTTTACTGTAATTTAAAATGATTCATGACTTAAGTGAAATTGTTATTAATAATTTGGTTATAAATAATAGAATGTTGATAATAATAATTAATAATACTTAAAATATTATAACTAGAGAGCGGATTTCCATGCATAATACAATTTTTCTGAAATAATTCTTTCCAAGCCAAATTTCAATTATTACATTAGAGATTTAAAAATTGAACATTTATTTTCCCGTTATTTTTTAAGCATTTTTAGACATTTTAATGGTATTTTTTTTTAGCTTTACATACTTCCTAGTATTTCTTTGCTACTTTTTCCATATGTGCATGAAATAAAAGTCATGTAATCAATATATGGCCTAGCAGGATGTTATTTACAGATGTTAATTTCAAACAAGTCGATAAAATGTACCGTATAGTCTTATATGTTATAAGTTTATAACTGTATTATGTGTTATTTCGGTAGAGTATACAGAATTTCTGTTATATTGAAAATCTGAGTGCTATGCATACAACAAGATAGGCCAATTTGTGTATTTTAATGATGATAATTATTAATTATTTTAAATTCATTCATTTGATATTCAGATATTATTATTTTTACTAGAAAATCCATATGTTTGATGTGGCCAACAAACAGTGGCATTTGTTTCCAACCAAACCCGACCACAAGGAGCCAGAACCTGGTTATCCGATTAACAGATGCTTTCATAGCTGTGTCCAATGTCCTGAGAAATCCAATTTGGTGTATTTATGTGGTGGTCTTGGTGATTTCCAAACTTTCAATGACGTTTGGCGTATTGACATTGACACTATGCAATGGGGAAAAGCTGACCAATTGTATAATGCCTCTTCCAGTATACTGCACTCACTGCTGTAACACCGCCTTCTGGTCGTATGTGTTGTTTATGGCGGCATAGTTACTGAACGGAGTGATTTAGATCCAGCTAACCGTTCAATTGATATTACTGGGGCAAGGGATGACGATACCCAATGGAAAGTTATATGTTGGGAAGCAATGATTCACTATTTCAAAGAAGCGATGGTTTTAAGTCTGAGTATGAGTGTCAAAGAAAATTGGGTATAACCTCAAGAATTCTAAATGAACGAATAATTGAAGCTCGTAGAATTTGTTAATTTTAGTTGATTTGAGAATGCATTCTTCCGTTTTCTAATAAGTTTTTCTAATATTTTTTGTTGATAAAAATTTTTGTTGTATATATTATATATAAATCATTATTTTAATGGAACGGTGATAACAAAAAATAAATGTGTAAACATAATACAATTTGTATTATTGTTCTCTTTTTAATGTTTAAGTGAATCATGTTGATCAACACATCTTGTTTCACAAAGTTTTTTGCAATTTTACAAACAAATATTTTAAAAAAAAACACGGCCAATTGGTGGGGGGGGGCATGGCCCCTCTGCCCCTCTGGCTACGCCACTGACTTAAACCGACTTAACTGATCAACATAATTATTGTAATTTTATTTAACAAATTATAATTGTTTAAAACTATTGTGTTGATGTATTCTTATATGTATTAATGTATTATAATAAAATTGATTTCCAACAATTGGTGAATTTTGTGTCAAAATAAAAGTAAATTAATAATATTGTGTTTTATATCATTAAAACCAAATTTTGAGTTACAACATTGATTGGTGGGGGGTAAATTCACATTATACCTTGTAGTGTAATCCTCTTCAGTTATGAAACCCAAAATTGGTATGGCATGGGTAAGGTTGAATATTAAACTCAAAAAATATTCTGACTAATAATTGTTTTTATTTTACAAAATTAAAAATAATTGTAATTATTTGAAATAATGATTTGAATTCAATTTAATGTAAGTGAATCATCAATATTCAATCTTAATGGTCAAAAACTAAATTTATATATATTTATTAAATTTCATAAATTTTGTTTTTACAGATTTTGTATACATAACATGTTTTTTAGTGTGCCGTGAGACACAATTTGTGCAGTGAGAAAATTAATAGTGCAGTGAAAATTGTGACTTTGTGCAGTGGAAAAAAAAAGAATTTCAAGATGATATATTTTATTGTATATTATAAAATAGTAATTGGGTAAACTTAAAAAAAAAAACAAATAAATGTTTTTATTATTCATTATTATACTGCCTTTAAGCACATGCTTGTGTTGGTGGTAAAGAGTGAATAATATGAACAATTTAATTATAAATCGTTTAGAATACTTATAATTAGTATTAAATTATAACAGTTAAATATAATTCCTTCTTATTTATTCAAGCATTGAAAAAAACCAAATCTGAATTTTTTTTAATTTCTATATGTACTATTCCCTTCTGTTTAGAACAGGGATGACCAACCAGCGGCCCGCATTGGAAAGTTTTGCTGCCCTTGACATTTCTCAAATATTTACAAAAAAAAATTATTTTTTCGCCTATAGAATATTCTGGAATGCCCGCACAACGCGGTAATTGTATTATTAACAACGTAATTGCAAGAAAAGTAATAAATCTAATCTAATCTGATAAAAATATATACGATTAGACACCAGCTTATGTAAAATGTATTGTTAAAATAAAACGTGAAAAATAACAGTCATAACTCATAACCTGTCCGTTCGCTCAGTTCGCTGTGACTGTTGAAATGCGTTTTTTTTTTTTTGGCAACCATATATTATGTGGCCAGCAGGATTGTAATGTATTTACAAATTTTTCCTCAAGATCATTTGGGTTGGCCATCCCTGGTATAGAATATGGGGAGCATACTACTTGCGTCCGAAATTATTATCAGTAGGTGAGTTGCGTCCCGCAAAAAAAAGAATCAAAAAGGTTCAATCAAAATTTATTACCTTTTTCATATCCAGAAAGGATTCGGAGATTTTAGTTATATATACAATAGATATTTTTTTAAATACAGACTCCAATGGGTATCTATCTAATAACTTAAAGTTTTCTTTAGTTGAACCAAAAAAAGTAATTTTACTTAAACATATTATCATAACAATTTTTCTTTGTAAAAGTTGTAGTAGGTAGTCTAGACAAATTTTGATTCAGTCAAAATTATAATATTTTGACTATATTTGATGTAAAGTATATTATATACAATATTATAATATATAATTAGAAAGAAATTAGGTATCTATAGTCAATTGATTGTTTTTATTTTTTTAAACAATTATTATTAAAAATTACCTATTTCAAGTAAATATTACTTAATAAGTATTATTACTTATATTTACAAACAATAGGTATATAAAATTATTATTTACAAATTTGCAAAATAAAAATAGTGTATGAATATAAAATGATATTTTATTTGGTATATCATGAGAGAGTCGTGATTTATATTGTTTTTACATATCGTTTCTGAGTACATGTATGCAGTCTTATGAAAGTAAAAAATGGCAACCCATAGTTCAACGGATAACAGTCCGTAGGCTTTGGTCTGCGTAAACAAATTCTCTACTATAACCCAAGAGTGGGAATAAGTTTTTGTAGTCAGAAAAAATCATGAAAAAAAACAATGAGTTATGCTTTATTAATAAAATACAGTTTGTAATTAATGAAGAACAAAAGACATTAATATTGTCTACCTTTATCAATAAAAAAATCTCTACCGGAAAGTCAAATTAAATTTTTATGAGCGTTTGAAATTCAATTTTTTACAACCTTGGATATTCACTCGATTCCCCATGTAGCGATTTCCTTATTTCGTTGTAATTCAAAAACGATTAACTGTAGATACATGAAAATTTCACTGAATGTTCATATTAGCATTTCCTATACACTGTACAATTTTGAAAATATTTTGACTCTTTTTGAGCTGTTTACGGACATTTACAGCTTTAAATTTTTTTTAGTTTTTTTTCTATAAATATCAATAAAGTTTTATCTATTTTGCCAAAATGTGTAAAAATTTAATACAAGGCTCCTGATATATTGTTACAATAGCAATTGAAAAATATTAAAAATACATGGGCACAATTTTTTTTTATAAGCATTTAAAGATCGAATTTTGACAAAATTTATCAAATTTAAAATGTAATAATTATTTTGTAGTTAAAATTTATAAAATGTTCAACTTTTATATCTAAGGATTGAAAATTTTAAAAAAGGGTTCACGTAAATAGTTAAATATATAAATTATTTTATTCACAATATTATCAACAAATTATAAATATACTTTGTAATATCATAGGCTGACTGACCTTTTTTTTCTATGAATGTCAATAAAACTTTATTTGTTTTCAACTTTTATAGCTAAGGATTGAAAATTGAAAACAGCGGATTCCACGTACATAAGTTTTATATAAATTACTTTATTAGCCTTATAGTATCATCAAATATACTTCGCAATATCATAGGCTGACTATCCGTTTTCGCTCACAATCTTTTTTCTTATACAATGATATTATATCATTGAATTCAAATTTAACACCATCCATCATACAGTGACCCACTTGTAACCTACTGTACATCAGAGCACCTTTTTTACAATGTCTTTTTGTTGAATGGATACTTAAATAATGGCTATAGGTACTGGATTTGATTTATTTTTCTTCGCTCAGAATCGTTTATCTTTTATAATAATTTTGTATCATTGAATTTAAATTAAACACATCCATTATAGGTACTATTATATGAATTATAGTGTGACACACTCCGGCCACTCAGAACCTACTCCATATCCTAACCTAACCCTGCAGAGCCGGATTTGTGTATCTATGTATTGGGCCATCGAGATTTTCACTTATTAGCGGCCCATTTACATATTCACTGGCCCAAAATTACGTCCAAAATTATTAGCTCACCTAACCAATCTGACAATGCTTAAAACACTCGCTAACTTTTTTAATTATCTTTTAATATGGTCCATCAAATCTGTTCTATTTTAGATTCTAAATGGACCTCGTGTAGTAGTATATTGATTTTATAATGATGTGTGTTTCTTATTTTTAGATTCTGAGCGGAGCGAGGAAGCTAGTGGTTTTACAATGGTGTTTATTTTTTATTTTTTTATTTTTTTTTTTATATCCTGTATACAAAATTTCTACCAGAAGGAGTGCTTTGATTTCAACATATAGTATCTTATCTTTTAGCAAATATTGGACCAAGATGGTACTTTAGAGAGGTCATTTTTCGATTTTCTCAATAGTTATATAATGCCACGTTAAAAACCACCGAAAAATTACGAAAAACCATTTAAAATCGGATTTTAATTTCTAACGCTTTGTTTATCACCATAGAAACGAATAAAAAATTATAATATTAATTCAACTTACATGATATAATAAATAATAACTATATAAAATATCCAGACTGACAAACCGTCTCCGTTCAGAATCGTTTTTCAGTTTTCTTATACAATGATATTATATCATTGAATTCAAGTTTAATACAATCCATTAAACAATGACCAACTTGTAACCTACTGTACAGCTGAGCGACATCCACTTACCTGCCTTTTTTGTTTTTTCATTTGTGCCTGACACCATCTTTTAGAACATTAAAAATGCTTAAATTTTCTTCACTAGCATCTTTTCTGATAGGAAAATGAATCTAGTTGGTACTTACTTTGTTTGGTTAAAATTTAACTTTTAAAAATTCCCAGTTGTTTTTGAAAGTGCCATTAAAAACAAAAAAAAAATAAGGAAAAACGGAAATTTTAAAGCAAAATGATTTTGGTATTTGGTGTAACTCTAAAACAAATAACCGTAAATGTAACTGATATATTATGAAACTAGATGATCAACGAATGTTTATATTAGCATTTTCTATACACCATAACGTTTTAAAAATATTTTGACTTGTTTTGAGCTATTTACGGACATTTACAGTTGCAATTTTTTTTTTTCTTATAAATGTCAATAACATTTTATTCTTTTTTTCAAAAAGATTGAAAATGTAATACAATAGGCTCCTAATATATTGTGACAATGGCAGTTGAAAAAGATTAAAAATACGTATGCACGGTTTTTTTTATAAGCATATTTAAAGTTTGAATTTTGACAAAATGTTTCAAATTTAAAATTTAAAAAAGTTTTGGTAGTTAAAAATGTATAAAACGTTCAACTTTTATAGCTGAGAATTGA